TAAGTCTCCAGAACAGGTATTTGCTCTGCAGTTCTTCGGATTAATTGAACAGAACAGAAGGTCATTACAACAGATGCTACATTCTAGACAATAAAATAATAAAAATCTAAGAAATCCCTCATTTTCAGATTTGAAAATGATGTGAAGGAGGGACTTCTACATACATTGTCTTGGTCAATGTTAGGAAATGTTAGGAAATGTTAATCAGTATTGTTGCATCAACATAAGTGGGGAGGAGGTGATTTATACCATCCATGAATCTGGCTGTGTGGATGTAAATAAATTTGACCAGAACTGATGATATCAGCAGACTTACACTGAACAGATGAAATTCCATTCATAAAATATAGATCAAGGATGTGCAGATGTATAAGAAATGTGAGCAAAGGAGCTGCTAAGATAAGGATCAGAAGTGAATGGGCCATTATAAATACTTCAGCAAATGTGAGGTCAAGTCCTTTGCAGAACAAAATACAGTGTAGAAGTGTGAAAGCTGCTTTTACTTAACTAGTGCAAGATTGGCCATTGCCAGATTTGCTCCAATGAGACAAACCCAGGCCTTGATTCACAGAACCTTTTACTAGTGCTTCCATATGCTTAAACTAAGATGAAACCTTAAATTGAATGAACTAGAATTCCTTTTCTTTTAGTGGGATTTATAGAAGATAGATAGAAGATTAAATACATGATAAATTGCATTTTATAAATACTGATTTTTTTTCGTAAATTGGTGGCCTTTCTTTTGAGTTGGGGCCCTTCCGTTATTCAAGATTTAAAAATGTATACAGGCTTTGTGATTTGAAGATTTTGGAGTTTGTAAAAAAATGGGAAAGTAGTTGGCAATAATTTGGAGTGCTTATACAAAGGGAAAAGCTCTTATTTGGAGCAGTTTGAGGGGCATAACATGAATCGAGGAAAGGAAAGGAAAGGAAAGGAAAGGCAGTTTGAGGGGCATAACATGAACCGAGGAAAGGAAAGGAAAGGAAAAATGGCAGTCATCAAGTAGGATGTCCTTATCATGTCTAATGTGATGTGACAAGCCAGCTGTTCATGGGAAGTGATGTCAATCTTACTGATTCAGATTTTAAGAACAGAAAAGCTAGAAAACATGCTGCTACAGATTATTTTGTTCTTTCTCTTGCGTTTATAAGGCAGTATGACCAAAAAGTCACAAAGACCTCTTTCATCTCTGCCATTTTTAATGATTCTAAAATATGACAAAGCACAGGTAAGAAAATCACTAGTTGTGCCTGACTATACCAGTTTGCCAGGGGCATTGGCAGAATGGACAAGGTCATTTTCAAGTATAAAGTGCAATTTATCGATTTGCGGGCAATGGTCTTTGTGTAGTTATTCTACCCCTGGCAACCAAGGGACTGGAAATTTCTATGAGCTCTGACTGATGAACAGAAATATCAGACTTTGTGGCAGCTGATTGCCAGGTTTCTCCCACTTCCCTTGATGTAGAAGCACATTGGATGCTGTGCGGTAGCTACTGAGCAGCCAGAAGTTACAGACTAGCATCTTAAAAGTGAACAAGCTCCAAGTGTGTTTTACTGCAGTAACCTGAAAAATGTTCTGGTTCAGCTACTGCCTCAGGAGCAGCCAACTTGTCCACGCAGGAGTGATGGACACTCCAAGGAAAAGCAGGCAGCTGTGTGTGCGAACTGCTGGAGCTCTCCCTAAGCAGCCTTTGCACTTGAGAGTTAAGGCCTCGGAGGAGCTATCAAAGAAATAACCTTGCTAAGTTGACACTTGATAAGCAAATATCTCAAAAGCCCCACTTCAAATGATATGTCTCCACTTGGCCCTTAGCCAGGATTTCAGGATTTCTCATCCAATTTCAGCATATTTTTTTTTCTTTTTTTCTTTTTTTCCTCCAGGAAAGCTTCTGAAGAACATTTGGTAGTGCATCTCAGTATTCAGTCATGCTTTTTTGAAATTTATTCAATGAGAAAAGTGCAATATACAAGGCACGGATAAAGTGCAGCCGACAGAGCCTCTCCCTTAGGCACCTGCTCCGCGGGAAGCACCTGAACCCACCAGCTCGGGGCAGGATCAGGGCCTGGGTGGGCAAACGCAGTGGGAAAGCCTGGCTACCGGGAGCGGAGACCCCGAGGGGATCAGCAAGGCCGCAGCTCCAAAGACGCCGTCAAAGCGCCAAACCTCTCTGTTTCACCCCGCTGCGTTTACGGCGTTTATTTACTTATTTAATTTATATATTTATTCCCTATTGGGGGATTATGGCTCCGTGCCGCCCCCCTTACCCCGGGGTACCGCACCGCGGGCGCCCGGTGACTGCCCCGCGGCGGGGAGAGCCCCCTCG